ATTGGTTACTCTTAACATATAAGTTTAGACATACTCTGGAACGATATTAATCGCAGTAAATCCATACAAATGTATTAATATTTTTAATAAGGTACGTATTTCCGTTTAGGTTAATTAATAATAATAATAGATATGTTATTTTTATTTTAAAAATCGTTTTCTATATGGGTATTTTTTCTAATAATACTACATTGTAAAACATTGTTGGTCAATCAACTACTAGAGACTTCTGCTTTCAAAAATCCACGCGTTATTATTAAACTGATGTGGAGAAGAGTTCGGGGGATATCGAGCAATATAGACTAGAACTGTTGTTAAGCAGTTAAGCATATCTCCACTAAAGCACTAGCGAAACTCTATTCCGCGAAGACAACTAAATGAAATAATATTCTTTAGTGAATAAATTAGTAAAAATTAGGTCTAAAGTCTCTGGATCGAACTGAACCATATAGCCCTGAGCGTTTGTGTTCTTTGCTTAAATGTCAGACTTTATTCTCCTTAGATAAGCTTAAATATTTATTTTAAAGTAAATTAAACCCGGTTATATGTATTTTATTTCACTGCTTAAATCCTAAACCTAAAGATTACTTAACTAATTATTTTGATCAAACATTTTTATTAAGGATTATGTTCAGCAATACCACATGGCCAAAATGGGTTCATTAGATCCCCATGTTTTTGCATTAGCTGAAGCTGCCTATAGAAGCATTGTTGAAGAAAAAATTAATCAGGTAACTAGTGTTTATTATATATGTATTACTTATTTATTATTATTTTAAAAACTTGCCAAGCCACAATATTTATTGTACCCATTGAAAATGGGAAATCAGGGTATAATGGTTTTGTTAAATGTATGTAACAGACAGAAGGATGCGTGGCAGACTCCATTAAGCATATACAGTGGCGAGAACATATGGATACATGTTGGCCAAGTCGACTTTAAAATGCCTGTAAAAACATAAAAATTTCATGAATCTATCTGAAATTTTGGAATTAGATTCATTTGATATATTTAAGTAAGATGGTAAAATCATTTGTTTCGCTTTTTGATTCTAAATTCAAGTTTTTTAGATGGATACATAAAAAGAGCTATGTAGCCATTTTTGCTCGTTTTAAACTTTTTTAAAATATTTACTATTTTTAATATTTTGTCCAAAGATCTTTAGCTGTAATCACACTAGCAATGCGCTTAGGTATACTCTCCACCACTTTTCCAAAAGAGGCATGCGAAATTTCGCTCAACTTCGCCTGGATCCGACACTAAAACCCCTTCATCCCAGTCGGTGGTGTAGCTTACATTGAGAGCATTTTTTTAACTAATGCCCAGAAATTTTCATGAGGTTTTGGTCTGGACTTTGAGTAGGCCACTTCTTTATCAAAAATTTTTGATAATCGAGTTAATTCTTGACGATTTTCGCTTTGTTCTGGGGTTCATTGTCCTGCTGAAACACGACTTCTTCC